GTCAAAGTGTACTTGGGCAAGGCACTGAACCCTCACATTGGCTAATATGTTCATTGGTGTGTGACTGCACAGCAACAAAAAAAAAAAAAAAATCAGTATGTAGGATGCATGTCGATAAACGCTCTGTGTATAGTCCGGGTAATGAGGAACAAAAGTTGCTGCTGCAAGGCATTGGTTTTACGAGTGCTTTGTAGAACCCATACGAGGTCACAAGGGCACTAAAAAAATGTGTTGACCTCTTTATTTTCCCTCCATGCTCCTCTCTGATGCTACTTTGGAGTGTTAAAAGCTGTGAGCAAACAAATCAATCGCATGACTTAACTGAGTATAGTCATGTTAGACAACTGGGCAAAATGGTGTGGCTTCATGAAAAAAAAGTTTAGGCGTGATACTATAATTCTGGTATAAATATAATTCTACATTTTGTACTTATTTCCTTTTATCTTTATAAAGGGGAAGCTTAGCAAGTGATGTTTACGTTGCATGTTTTTCCCTGTTCTCACAGCAGGGGTAGAAGCCATTAATCTTCTACAAAGTACTTCTAGTTTGAGATTCCTCCTCTGCTTTGAAGCTAATTTCTTTTTTTTAATCTTCTATCAACCCTGAATAATTAGTGTTGGGGCCAGAGTTGTAGGATGTGTTTAGATGTTCATTTGCTATGGACATTGCTCCACAACCTGGCTTACTGTCTGACAAATCAGTGGATTGTGACACACATTTTTGAATGGGCAGAGGCCCTCACACAAACAGCCGAGAAAAAACTTTTGGCCCACACCAAAAGTTACCACACATTAAAAATGCATTCTCTAAAGTTTATGTGTGCCAAATGTTTAGACGTGATCTGAGAAGTCAACCATTTTTCATCTCTCCGCTTTCCTCATCAACTATTCAAATCATTTTATTTAGGTGGAGATAACAGCCGAAATAAGGATTTCGTTATACATATTTTTAGTCCCACAATTATAAATATGATGTTAATAAATCATTGTGACACCAATTACAAATTTACACGTTACTGATCTGTTGTCCATTACAAGTGTGTAATGTCTTGAAAAAATTCTATCTTAATATTCATGTTTTGCCCTGATTCAACTGTTTTTAAAAAAAAAAAACAACGAAAAAAGACATATTTCACGGTTAGTGATTTGCCCATCATTGGAGAGTTGAGTTCTGTCCTCAGTGGAGGCCTTTGCTCCCACTCAGCTCAATGCAAAACATGTTATTCTATCTGCTTATATACTGCTATAGACTACTGAGCCTGTGGTATTCACAAAATACACGCTCCTTACATGTTTTGTTACAATAATGGGGTATTTGGTTGATTAGAGGACTGAGAAAAAATTGATTACTCTATTGGGTAAAGACTGGTGGTGGTATGCTCAGTGCTTTTGAACCCCAGGCTCAATGGCCCTGAAAATAGCAGCTCCAATGTTAAGATTTATTTGTATTAACAAAGAAAAAAAGACAACATTAAAAAACTTATGAGAAATCTAATAAAAAATTAATGAAAATAATGTTTTGGCCACAGATAAAATCTACTAACAATAGGAGCTATTGTAATCTGAAAAAGCCATTACATTTCTTTTTTTCAAAAAGTATGATGCAGATGTTGCTTGCTTAACTCTCAGTGAAAGATTATACTTCACTTGTGGAGTTCTTGTTACAGTCATTCCTCGGACCTCAAGTAACAGCTGGTCTGCTGATCCAGCAGCACAAGCCGGGGTGTAAGAACTCTGATACACTAATCTCAGGACCAGAGGCCTTGGCAAGACCCCTGCTGTCTCAGCCAATCAAAGTGCATTCTATCACAAACAGACTCTGTGTTGCATGAGTCCAAAATGGCCCAACAGAACCAATAATGTGTGCCACACCACAAAACGTCGGTGTTCAAGGCCCGAAAAGGGCGAGAAGTACATGATAGATGGTCAGATCTTAACCAGTTAAAAAGAAAAAAAATTGAGAAATTCAGAATTTTAGACTTCTGTGCAACCTCATATCTGCACAGAGAGCGTTATAATCCAGGGCCTGCAATGACATATGCATGGACATGAAAATATTCACTCAGAGTCTTTTTTCCCCACATTCACTGCACTGGATTTTCTGGACTAAATTGAGACTTTGTTGACTGATCAAAAAATAGTCTTCATCATAATTTTGTTGTTACTACGCGAAGAGCTGGTTGGTGTTTGTTCCTATGTGCAGATTGTAGGACCTGGAAGCGCGACTCATTCCAGGCCTGACCCTGTGGCATCGGTCTGAGTGGTTGGTATTCCGCCTCCTGTTTTCGCTGGGAAAACACAAGGGGAATATTTGGCTGTCTGCTTATCTCCTCTGAGTCCCGCGCTGGCAGACAGGGGAACACACACTTCCAGGCCTTTGTGAAGTGATTTCCCCACGCGAACACACAAATGCACGCATACTCACACGCTCCGCGCACACACACACACACACAGCTCCCTCCATTCACCCTCGCTTATCTCTTCCTGGTTGTCTGCATCCTGCTGCTCAGCTGGAGATGACACACGCATGTGCACGCAAACACACACTTGTGTACATGCGCATGGTCTTACGCTCACTCAAGAGTCATTCATGCTTCCTTCCAAATCACTGTTCTCATAAAATCCTCACACACACGGAGTGAAAGCTAAACAAACGTAAGTGTCCAAATGCTGCAAGTCATTTTTTCAGAAGGGATCCGGGAGAATATGGCTTTATGCTTTAATGTAAATATGGTTTTCAACACCATTTATACTTAATGATACCATGCTTTTAATATATATGAGCACACCGAGCGTTGGACCTCACACGACAAGGTTACAGTACCAGTCTCTAAACTGAAAGAAAAATAATTGACAGACAGTTTTCTGTCATCAGCTGCTTGGTGGTGAAAGTTAGTCCTGTCCACTGTTAAGCCATATGGCAAACTGGTATTGTTGATGAGATGCTGCACCACAAATGAGAATGCTGAAGGTGGTCAAGTCAGATGTTATTTGAAGGTTTTTCTCTCACGTGTTTTCGATATACTCTGGCCTTATCTCTGTTTATTCCTTTTTAAACAAATTTTATGAAACCTTTGCTTAGACTGACATTTTACATTTCTTAAATTTCTTAGGAGTTTGTTTCTGCGCTGCTGAGTTTAGTGTTGCTCTTTTAAGTTCTTATCAGGCTGCATTTGATAACACTACGATAATAACAATGTGAACTCCAACTTTGGCAGTGGGGAAGAAAACAGTCATTCATTTTTGGCAAAGTTCAGCACAGGATTTAAAGCAGGGTATCAAGTAAAGATTTAGCTACATATTCTAACTTGAATAGTAAATAGCCTTTACTTAATAGTTAATTTCAACCTTGCATGGAATGTGCCCAGTGCTCATTCACACAAGCACTCGTAACGTACTTCCTGTTATATACTGGCTCTATATATGCAGAACGTTTTCTCTACAGGCCATGGGGCAATGCTGGATCAAACCACTGATCTTCTACTTGGAAAACGACCACCCTACGATTAACATAGCTGCAATGTACAATACACTTTCGTGTCAGTTTGTACAAAGGGTGATGGCTTTGATAATTCTTACTGTTGTGTGAACCAAAAAGGAAAGACTGCTATGAACAACTACTTTGATTTCTGCCAGTAATACATTTTTATCTTGATTGAAAACACTCATTTAGATATATATCCAGAGGCCGTTTTGCATTTGATTTCCAGTCTTTTTCCACGTGTTTTTCTTCTCTCATAAAGAAACAAGGGAAGAAGCAGCACCTTTCAGTTACGACTGGTGTCTTTTCTCAGGTATTCGTCAATCGGTGGATGGTCTTACGCTTTGCTGTTCCTCTCTCAGGACTACCACCAGTTAGTTTAAAGAAACTGACAAAGCTCGTGCTAAAACTACATGTAGATGGACCAATATATATATTGACGGTTTAGTTGCGATACTCAACATTATGCTGCAGCTGCTGCTGAGTATCACCCCTTCCCCCATTCCCCAGTAGCAAGGAAACTAGAGCAATGTGTGTATATGCTTTTGACACTGTGGTATCAATGTATATGGTTTAGGGATGGAGCAATGGGTCTCACTCATATTATATTAAACAGGATTTTCCTGAGAAGAGGGCCACTGGGCTTCTGAACTCTTACTCAGGATTCCCAGTTCAGCACAAACGCTGCGGTCTTGGTGAGATCCCACTGTTTGTTCTGGAGTGTAATTGTTCCGGAGATGCTGAAGCTGTGAGTCAGCACCACCGGCACTCCGCCCACCTGCCATGCATTGCTCAATTATTAAATATGTGGGTGCTTTTGTCACCTAGCTTTTCAAGATGGTATTTTTAGCAGCAACAAATCATTCGCGTAAACCTATTAAAGGCTGAGGAAGATCCACCTTCACCCTGCAGTCAAACTCCTGTTTTTAAAGCTATTCTGTGTATGACAGGAAAAGCTCCTGAAAAAGCACTTGACACATGCAGGGAGAGCGTTTCACT